GCCTGCCTTCTCTCTCTCTCTCTCACACATACACACACAAAGAGCCACTTTTGTCTACCTTTTACTGCTATCATTAAATATATAACTTAAAAATTCACTATAGCTTGTCACCCAACATTTTAAAATGCTGAATGACATCACTGTGTTGCGCTCATTTTGCAATGTTTCTGCTTCTGGTTCTTATCTCTGGGCTATTTTAATTTTCTTTAGAGCCAGCGATCGACCAGGAGGTTCATGGCGTTGAGGCTCCATGGAGTCCAAGAGGAAACAATCCCCAACTCAGGGGAGGGGGGCATTTATATCTGAAACAACCCCCCCAAAAAATAAAAGAGGGGTTGAGGAAGAATCACAAAGGGGAGGGAAGGAGGGAGGGAAAAGCCAGAGGGGGTCCCAGGAAGGGGAATTTTTGTCCATGAAAGCTTGCGAATGGCTTGATTTTGGCCCAAGGAAGGTCCCCGTTCCGTGGGAGCAGGGTGGTCAGCCACGACTGGAGGTAACCTCCTACACTCAGGCCCTGCTTCCATTCCATGCGCAGAGGGAACAGGCCAAGGAACGTTTTCCCAAAGCTGCCAAGGAGCAGGTCTCCGCTGGCATGGATGCTTCTCCCTCCTCCCCCTCATGAAGAAACTTGCCTCATTTCGCCTAAGAACAGGACAGGCCCCCTGCCCCGACCGCACCTCCCTGGAAAGCCAGGTATCCAAGCCAGGCGTCCCCATTTTCCCACCAATGGCACCTTCTTTTCACTCGTAACCCCCCCTCTCTTTGGATCCACACAAAACTCCCAGGCCAACCCCCTGAAGCTGGAGAGCTCCCACCTGGCCCGGGAAACGCTGCAAACCAGGTCCGCTCGGCAGCATTGGTATATTTCGGAAAGGCCGCACACGGGATGGTGCAACGGAGCTGCACCCTGAGAAAGCAACTGGGGCGCCACCAGCTTCCCCTTAGCTTCCAGGTGACAGAGCTGGACCCTTGGCGATTTTGCCGCAGGGTGCGGAAGGGCGAGGAGCAAGAGAAGGAAAGCTCATGTTTCCTTCCACTGTGGTGAAAAAGCAGCCGAGGGAGAAAGTGATTCTCGAAACTTGGAAGAGAGAAAGAGGCTGCCACACACACAGCGGTTGGGAAAGTGCGCTTCGGAAACCTTCACTGGAACAACGGCAAGCCCTCGGAGTGAGACCCAGAACTGGATCCCAGGAAGATTCTGGGAAAAGATGTGGGCGGGCAGGACGGTTCCAAGAGACGGAAAAGACTTGGCTCTTTGCTCTCGCCTGGGCTCTTCTGGGGAAACGCAGCCAAAAGGTGCAGCCATAATTTCGGAGACTAAAACCATGGCCACAGAAGAAATGCACCGCTTTAACATTGACCGTGGAGAAATGGAAGCTGGTGGGAGATTTTGTGCCCCTTGGTTTGGTTATAAAAATCAAAAGGGAGGCCCTGCAGGCGAGAAATCAGAAGGAGGCAGAGACTCGGACTGGAAAAGATCCTCAACTTGTAAGGATGTCTCTCCCTGGAGCCCGAGACCAGGATCAGCTGCCATCTTGGGTTTCCAATCGCCTTGCCTTGGATGGGGTTGAAAGCTGGACAGCAAAGGAAGCAGAGGGGAGAAAACGGACTTGTTCTAAAGGTGGTAGTGGTGGTGGTGGAGGAGGAGAGCTTAATGGATAAGACAAACCAGAGGTTCTGAGATCAAAGCAAGTCTGAACTCTCTCTCTGGAGAGAAAAAAGGTTGAAACTGGGGCCATCCTCTTTTTGGGCCCCTCCTGAGAAGGCAGGATTCCCTGGGAAAGACCGTCATGCTGGGAAAGATGGAAGGCAGCAGGAAAAGAGGAAGACCCCTCCCCCCCATGAGAGGGACTGGCTCCCTCCAGGAAACCACAAGCTGCCCGTTGAGGACACGGTGTCTTAGAGGTGGCTCATTTGTGGGGGTTTTCATAAGTCAAGAGGAAGCAAGAGCAGCAACCGGTTCGAAAGGACTCTGTCCAAGCATGATCAGGACCGGCTGGTTTTTTAAGTAGAGGGCATAAAAACTGGACTGGGCCCCTGCCAAAGCTTCCCGGTGGCATCTGCCGTTTCCCAAACTGGGCAGGGAAGTGGCTCTGATGGCTTCAGCTTCCACCAGACACACCTTTTGTTCCTGCAATTTGCGCGGCCGGAGGGGTTGGGAGGGTGTGTGAAAGAGAGAGAAAAAAAGAGAGAAAAAGAGAAAGAAAGATCCTTTGCTCTGGGTTTTAAAAAAAACCCTCCAGGCTCCCAGGCTGAGGAGACAAGATGCACAGGAAGAGCCCAGATTTCTGGGGTCTTGACAGCCCCTGTGGTCAGAAAGCTTCACCACCCCACCCCACGAGGCAACCCTGAGAGGTCGAACACATGCACAAAGGCAGGAGGAGAGAGAGAGACCCACGGAGACCCACTTGTGGTCCTCTCTCACTTTGCCCTGTGGGTGGGAGAGGAGCAGGAATCCCCACCCTTGGGCCCCAGGCATTCTTGGCACTCCAGCTCCCAGAAGTCTTGGCTGCCTGCTAGGCTGTCCGGGGTTTGTGGGAGTCATAGTCTAAGGACCTCAGGGGAGTCCAGGTTCGCCGGGGGAGGGGGGCTCCTTCCGTCAGGCCACCCTGCCCGCCACACAGACTCCCAAAGGAGGATCTTGGACGGAAACGGGTGCGCACCAGGCAGAGGGCTGCCCTCCCGACTCTGCGCAGGCGCCCCCCCCGGCCCGGGCTGGATGCGCCAGTCCCAACCAACCTCTCCTTTTGGCCCGGGAGCCCTGGGGGCTGCCACATTGGAAGGGGCCCCCACAGAGCGGGTGATCCCAGTGTGCAACCTGAGGGAAGGCGTGAGTTGTGACAGGCCGAGAAGGGCCACCCTACCGTTGTCCAGCCCTGCCCACCCTCTGTGGAGAAAAACTGAAGCCCCCCCCCCATTTCTTCTTGTGTCTGAAACGGTGAGCTTGTGTGCATCTGGGAGGAGGAGAAGAGAGCGTGAGAGTGAGGAGAGAACGATCCACCGGCTGCTCAACCGCATGAGCGGTTCCTGTGCCGCTCCGGATGGCGACTCTGAGGCACCCCACGAGCGAGTCAGCGGGATCTCTGCGAGGGGACCGAGGGATCTCAGGGCGACAGCCGGCTGGAAGAGGAGGAAGGCCAGCTGGCCTCCTCCATCACACTGTGCAGGGCCAGCCCCACACTCTGCACCAGCGCGGACCCCAAGGTGTTCTGAATCCCTTCACTGCCAGTGTCCCGGCTTGTGGGTCTCGGCTGGCAGGGGGCTGATGGGATTCGTAGTGCCAGATCTCTGCAGGAGGCCAATGTGAGCTGGAGAGAGTGTTGCCACCAAGACTAAGGAAACCTGGGTGGGAGGAGAACTCGGCAGGAACTCCTCGGAAGAAAAAGCAAGGAGCAAATAAAATTTAACACTCTCTCACACACACACATGCAGAGCACTTGAGCTTAGAAACGACGGTTAAAGCTGCCCCGTGGCAGCCGTATTTAGGGGAAATCAGTGATTCATGGAAGCACATGCCACTGCCGAGAAACTTTTGAATTTGGCTTTCTTGGACAGGGACACCCTGCAATGAAACAGTGGTGGCAAACGGGGTGGGGCAGGGCGGGAGACAGGCAGGTTCCAGTTATGGCCCCCAACCCATCTGCCATCTGGCAGTGCATTAAAACCTTTCAATCCAGGCTGGGCTTTTTCATGGAAGGAGGAGGGAAGCAGCACAGCTGGCTGCAGGACCACCATATATTTTGACATGTGTGTGTGTTTTTTCATGGAGTTGCTCCCCGACCTGGGACTCAAAAGTAGCTCCGAGCTTCAGAGGTACAGATTAAAAAGCTAAGATGTTCTACAACAGGATGGCAGTAGCCGTGGGAGATGGGTTCTGTGCCCCCCCCCCGCGGATGCTGAAAACCGCAGATAGAGCAAACCCTAGACACAACATGGTCTCTGGCTCCCTTGAGTGGCCAGAGCTGGTAAATACACCATGGAAA